AAAAAAAAAAAAAAAACCAAAACGATGTTGGCATTTATGGTTCATGTTTACTTATATTAATTTTGTCATTAGCACCTTGCATCATAGAAAATACACTGGGGCATTATCTTAAATGTAAAGAAGTAGGAGGTGAGTTTATTTACACTGTTGCTCTATACTTATTAGTCTATGCTTTTACATTAGAAATGCAGGCATGTTAAAAATGAACCCCAAATGCATTAACTCTTTAATCTGATCTCCTTATATTTTAGCTATAATTAGGAAGAAAACCCCACTCTATGATTTCAAAATAATGTTAGGATTTCCTAATGAGAATGAACAATAATTTTGGTGTATAATAGTTCTTCCATATATAAACTAGCTACATTTTTGGCATTTAAAATATTGCCAAAAGTTGGAAAATTAGAATAGGGATGCCCTTATAAAATAAGTAGGTGTCCCAAGTAAAATAAGTCCGTACAAAGTTCTTTAGCACATTCTGAAGACACTAATGATATCTTCCCGGTCTTCGGTGGTGTCAAACCATGTATTTCCTAAAGAGGTGTACGTCAAATTAGAAGAGGTCATCTGAACTTTAGTGTGTGTCGAGTAGATTTATTTTTAAATAGTGTCTTTTTCCTCCCACTCAGAAGGTAAAATTGGGCTCTCAATGCTGACACAAATGTGCTAGCTGACTGTTGTAAAATATTTATGGTATGGAATAGCAGATAAATAGCTAGCATGCACAACGCAAATGCAATTAATACCCTGGAAAATATTTTGAATGCTTTGAATAATTCAACACGGCTTATTTTACTAAAGAAAGCCCAGTTTAACACTATCTGTGGTCATGTAACTGAATGAGAAGTAACAGAGTAGCCAGAGGCTCATCAAAACCCTGGATGCCGTTGCTGTGGCTTTATTTCTGCTCCATCTAATAAGACATGCAAACTCCAGCATTAAGTATTCCTAGCTCAGATCCATTCAATTTCATTACCAGATAGCCTAATCTATATAGGGCTAGGTCCAAGGAACATGCTTAGAGAATCTGAAAAATGAAATACATACCAAAATTTAAGTCCCCAGGGAGAGCTCAGTGCAATGGTCAGAAGGTGACTTGTGTCTGCCAGCGAGCCCTGTCTGGAGGTCGATCCCAGGGCAGATCTGCAGGAGTATTCCAGCACCATAAGAAAGAGACTTGCAGTTCAGCTCAGTGGTTCTTCAGTTAAAGTGCATTGTATCTGGATGGGGAAAGTGCCCGCTCCCAGGATCTTCATCACTGGAGACCAGCGCGATAACGATGTTCCTCCTATCAGAAAAAAAATATGTATATATATATGTATCTACATATATACATATATATATATTATGGTCTTTAAAGTTTGCTCAGAGGATGCAGTGCCAGGAGACAGGTGCTTGCTTCCTTAGACAGACATTCCATGGAAAGCAGGCTGAGTTAATGGGTGGGGATGAACAGACAGCCTCTCTTCTTCCAGGTGCAGCAGGGAAGAAATGGAATGATTTTACCTACTTTGTTACATAGATGATTATAAGACCCGAAGCAATCACCCAGGCTGGCTAAGGTGCCTCATTTGATTATATTCCGTGAAGACAAAAATAAGTGAAAACAAAAAATCAGTAGCATCCCTTTGAAATGTCTTCTTTCAGCCAAAAAGATGCTCTTCTCATTGCCACTTACATACAGAAGGTTTGGAGCAGCCTAGCTTGTAGCATCGTCCCTCCCCCGTGACAAGCTCTCTCTCTCATTCTCTCTCTCTTTCTCCTCCCTCTTTCGCTCCCTCCCTGCCCCTGACTCCCTCCCTTCCTGCCTTTCTCTCCCCTCTCCAGCTGCCTCAGTCTGTTGATGCTGCTGCTGATTAATCAGGGATTCTGAAACAAAGAACCTACCTTCTGAAAATAAGCAGCGATCTTTCTGCTCTGCTTCTGCGATCCCTCTGCCGTGAAAGGCAGAGCATCCAGCGCTCTAGCACCTTGGACAGTTCCTGCTTACTGGGCCCATTGGCAAAGGGAGAAGAAGCAACAGAAGAAATGACAAGAAACCCGAAAGCAACACCGCTCTACTTTGGATTTCGGGCTCCCCGGGGGCTGCTCTCCTCGTTAAAGGCCTCCCATCTAGGCAACAGATCCCCGCTCTTTCATCTAACTGTGTTGCAGTCTGATTAGTAAATAGTAAAACGAGGAGTACAGAGAGAGATCCCTTCATTTAGATCCGCTACACCACTAATTCAATTCGTATGGAGAACTGTATATACACCCACAAAATCAATGTTTTTACTACACAGAGAGGGCTGTTAAGTGATAAGCCTTTCGTCCCTGGCATGACTAATGAAAATGAGCAGCAACTTAAATGAAACATCCGGAGCTCAGTTTGATACTCTCATTTGATATCAGTTTTGCCTCCACCCTCCCTGTACAGCCCAGCCTTGCTCACAATTACTGCTGAGCTCCTTCAGGCTGCTGCTTGGGGAATGAGGGGAGGAGCCTTTTAAACTCATCAAACCAGCTTTATGCCACCTGCTCCCATGGCATGCGAACAAAACTAGCCCACTTATAAATGATATGCACAGTGAACACATATATGGAGCAAAGGTCTTGTTCAGGGGGCACTTTGCTTTTTAACTAAAATAAGATGTGAAATGATGCTGGTATATGAGACATTAGCTCTATGGAGACTTACTATTGATATATTTTTGATATTACCTCTATCCTGCATACGTTAAGGAGCTTTCTCATTCTGTTCTTAATTTCCTACTAAATCATACAGTATAGCACACATCAAAGGTTAGTGTGTGTATTGCTCAATGGGTTTTTACAAACCTAACTTGCTTACTCTCAGAGCAAAAAAGTATAATGTGAGATGTGTATTGTTTAAATTTGGTCAATTTAGCCCATGACAAAATTAATAAAAGGCAATGCATTTATGCTTAATTTAAGCAACAATGTCAAATTCTAGAGGGGAAAATGAGTTTTTCATTTAATCATGACCTGTGGACTTTTTTCCTGTTATAGTCTTTTCCAGTAACTATAGTTGTAAATGACATTCATTGAAAGTAGACATTCCCAAGAGTTACCTGAAGCATCTAAATCCTCAACCAGTGTCCTAGGGAGAAAAATATGCCTCTAAATGTGAAGTAATTTTCATGCATCAACTACCCATACAAAATAATAAACTTAAATTCACCTTCCTAATTCTTAAATGCTACCTAGAGCTCTGTTTTGATTTTGTGAATTTTGTTTTGTGTACCTTGTTAGCAAGCAATCAACACATCAGATTTGTAGAGAACTTCCAATTTTCAAACACCTGAAAAAGCATTTCTTAAGATACTGATTTGCTTCTATTCTCCATCCAGCCAACTCTTGTTGGAATGGAAAGTCTGTTTAATCAAATGAGGCACACTGCAAGGTTGGACAGGTAAAGGGAAGGAAAGGAAGGGGCCCATACATCTCTCTCTCTCTCCTTTGCTCTTATGTCCCTCCTCTCTTATCGATACATTATTTTGTAAAAAGTGCCTCATTTATCACTTATAAACAAGTAGCAACCAACACTCTGTGAGGAAGAGATTGAGCAAGGTGAAAATATTCTTTATAAGAAAATTTTAGGACAAGCATGATTTCAGGAAGTGCAAATATTTTTTGATGACTGATAACTCTATCAGATTTGTACGACTGTGGTTTAGCTATACTCATTCACTCGCTGCTTTTAAACCAATTTGAACCCATAGCTCCCCTAAGGGACTGGGCAGAAGTGTGGGTTTCAGAGACTGTAACTCTTCATAGGAGTAGAAAGCACCATGTTTCTCCCATGGAGTGGCTGGTGGTTTCAAACTGCTAACCTTGAGTTAGCAAACCAATGTGTAATCACTACGCCACCAGGGATCCTTGCTTTAGCTATAGAGACCTCAAAAAGCTCTAGTGCAAAGCCTATATCCTACACATGTGGGAAAACTATACCCTACAGACATACAAACTCAGTTGCTTAGGCCTTCACACTCCTTAGGTCATTGTTGTTAAGATTCATGCTCAGTGTGTTGACTCTGTATCTCTCCAGATTTGTCAAGACAGAAGTTCCCAACCATTTTTGATTTAATGCACCAGGATCATTAACTGTTGGATTAAAACATCAAAATAAAATTAGAATGTCTTGAGAAGCAGTTGACTTACAGTTTTTAACTGAAAAAACAAACCCTCTTATTACCACAAAAATAACAAAGCAGAAGAAATTATTATCATGAAATAATCCAATACACTGCCATGGAATCAATTCTTCTAACTCATAGGCACCCTAGATAGGGTGGGTAAGACTCTAAATCTTTACAGTGGCAGATAAGCTGACTTTTCTCCAGCAGAGCAGTTGGTGGTTTTGAACTGTCAACCCTGAGGTTGACAGTCCCAAGTTTATCAGGCAGCACCATCAGGGCTCCTCACAAAGGAATAGGGGGAGCATATTCAAAATAATAGAGGGTCCTTTAAAGCAAATACTTCCAATTTGTTGTGAACACCTGGTTTGTAGCGGGCTGTGGAGGACAGTGGAGGCCCAAAATCTTGTTGCAGGGTCCACACATGGATTAAGCTTCTAATGAATTCAAGATCATAGTTGAAGGATGCGAATGGCCCTGTTATCAGATAACGAGCATGGTAAAGTCGATTATGACAGACCTCATTAAGGTAAAATGTTATATCTTATCATTTTATCTCCCTCTTTGACTCGCCTTAAAGCTGTGATTGAAGCTTAAATAACTGAAGGGGAAATGCACATGGATTGAGGCCCTGGTGAATCCTGTCGGACCATGGAACAGGGATATGAGTAGTCTTGCTATCATTCGGATTGTTACAGATGTGGTTAGGTTAAAATTTTAGCAGACTATCATTTGATCTCCTTATAATCCATTTAAATATGTTCTAGTTTTTAATGTTTTCTGTTTTTTTTTCTATTGAGGTTTTTGTCTGTTTTACTTTGTTATTGTTGCTAGTTTTGGTTTTTAAATTTCTTTCTGTATAGGAAATCTATGATAGGTAAATCTATAGAGACAGTAATTGGACTAATAGTTCCTTCAGGGTATGGCAGGGGAGGTTGAGGGAAATGGGGCACTAATAACGATGAGTACAAGAATGAAGAAACTGACTGTCATGATTTTACAACTCTTGATGGTATTGAGCTACTTCATTGTATAATAATGTGAATGATGTGCCAATAAAACTTGAAATTAAAAAAAAATGTTTGGTACATGAGAAAAGTTATGAGTATCTCATTGCCTGATGATTGAAAATTTTCTCCTGTGAAAATACATTCATTTATATAATTTATAATAACTTTGGAAGTCAGTGTTTAGATGACTAGTATAGATCCCACCATGTGAAATGAAAGTGATTTATAATATTTCAAATAATCTTAAAATCCAGTGAAGAGCTCATTTAAATTAAGTTAAAAGTGTACACAGAGAAATGCATTGAACAAAATTTAAAAATTAAGAAAAATTGTCCAGAGAGACTAAAGCATTCTGATTTTAGTGTTATTTTATTTCTCTAGCGTCTTTATACAATTCATAGATGTTTCTTATTTTTTCCCCAAAATAATATTTTAATGCATAGAATGAAATACATAAGACCTCAAAAGAAGCCAGGTATACTGTTATTAACATATTTGAAAAAGTAAATATGTTATATGATGTAATTGTTGTTACTGACTTATTTATGTAAAAATGTTGATGTAGAAAATATGATGTTATATATCTATTTTGCAAGAATGGCAAAACAAATGTGTGATAAAGAAATGCAAATACTTATTTATTTAATTTTTGTTGTATTTGCTAAGAATAGACACAGCAAAACATACACCAAGAGTTTCTACGTGTGCAATTTTGAGTGTACATTTTTCAAGTTGTGCAACCATTCCCAATCTTTTTTAATTGTCCCTTACCAAGTATTATAAACTCCCTGACCCATAAGGGGCTTATCTAATCTTTCCAGTTGCTACTGTCAACTTTCTCTTCTGCATTCCATTCTTAAAAGTGCATAATCCTCAAGGCAGATCTATTTACGAGCTAAGATAAACTATTGTTTTGCTTAAAGAAACCTTTAGGGGACATGTAT